CAATATGCGTTTTTGCTGCCTGTTGCAGCGCTCTAGCGCTGCACGGCAAAAACGCATAAAAATCGCACAAAGGAACCGGAAGTTCCACCGATGGAGCGGAACTTCAACGCAGGACAATTCTGCTGCTTACCACTGCGCCGTGCCGTCCGGCACACGTCAAGTATGAAGGACGAATTCCAAACTGAGCATAATATGCTTGAGGAGAATAGAAAGTCCATAGCAGTGCAAGGATCGAGCAACATCAAAAACGGAAATACAAATAACAGAGCAACACTTCGCGATCCAGCTGCTGACGAACCTTCATCCTCCTCCAGCTTCCTAGTTTTACTTTGTACGTACAACTGTTATGAAGCAGATGACTTTTTTTTCATTTACAAATGTTTTCCTTTGGAACACTCGAATACAGAAAGCACCAGAAATAATACACTCTCAGTGGCTGAGGCGATAATAAACAATGCAAGTAATCAGTGTGTCATTACATAGAGGTCTTATAGGCAACTTTAGCATGAACAGAGTGCAGCCCAGTTGAAAACGAACGCAACTGAATTTCTTCTGCGTCGCTGATCACGCATGTACTACTCTCGGTCCAGTTTTCTGGTGTGTCCGTCTGCTTCCCCGTGTAAGTAAGTACGTCGAACGAACAACGCTTTTCTAACAGCGGAAGAAACGTCACGGATGCTGTTATTTGCCTGCAATTTGCCTTATGTTAGTGATTCAACGCATTGTTTCTGGATAAGTTGGCAGCGCCTCGCACCTTCCAGTTTTTATGCGTTTTTTGCATTTGTGCAATGCAAAAACACATATCGTTGAAGGGTTGTCTACGTATGTGTGTGTGTTCGTCTGTACCGATTTTTCTCGAGACCTACAAAAGCTACAAGGCCAGAACTTTTGGAACTTAACTTACATGCATGTACTGGCCCCTAATCGCAAAATGGCCGCTCTTGCCCACGTGGTTTACACGTACGGGCCGTTCAAAGTTTTTGACAAGTAAGCTGTTAACTCGGCGAACAGGAAAGCTAGAAAGCTAAAATTTTAACGAGGAACATCCTGTCCACGTAAAGCTTAATGAATTTAAGCTCTGCTCCCAGTTGTGCGTGGTTCCTACGTACGGGTCTGTGAAAATTTTTTACGAATAAGTAGCTAACCCGAAACCTGAAAAGCTAGAGAGCTAGAATTTTAAGGGTATGTTGCCCGTTTACGTATAATCTAATGACTTCAGCCTCAGGTTTGCGTGGTTCTGCCCGTGAAAATTTTTTGCGAGTAAGTTGCTAACTCGCGAACCCAGAAAGCTAGAAACCTGGAATTTTAAGGGGATGTTTGTGACAGTCGTTGGTGTCCAGTCCCAGTTCCTTTAGCTGGAAGTATCAGCCGGAAAAACAGTTCTGTGAGCGAAAAAAGCCTGCGGGAAACTGTGCAAAAAACGCATCCTCGCACCAGCAGTCGGTGCGCTAGCAAATTACCTAAGACAGGCACCGGGCCCTCATTAAATGAATACTCTGAGAAAATGACAAAGCGTTT